CTTTCCTCAGAGACTGTCTCCATAGATTTTCTGTGGGTAGTGAGTTCTCCTATTAAATCATATTGAGTAACAAAACAATACGTCGTTTTACAACTGAGAATTGTTTTGACAAATTACAGAATTGCTAGCTTTAAAAAGGGGTTACACGTAAAACCACTCATGTACTCTCTTTCCTTTTTGCGTCATTATTCGTAGTTGAATTTGTTTGACTAAGAATACTTTGGTTTATTGAGTTTTCAATACATATGCGCTCATTAACGGGAGAAGCCCCGGAATAGACATTTTCCAATATATTAGTAACGCTGTGCGGAAGGGACGATGTATTGTCATGGCGGGATGGAAGAATTTTTTTAAATTAATGAGTGATACAAAATCCATCAAAATAAAGTACAACTTGATTTCTAACATCAATACAAGTATACAAATAATACGTTTGCTATAAGACAATGAGAAGCAAACACAGATTGGTTATTCACATTCAATTAACCATATACACAGTCAATATACAAATACAAAAGGAGAAGTAAAGTACGGTCTATGAGTTTAAAGATATTAGTAAAAACATAATCCATAAAGGTTTAAGTGAATTCTAGATTTTTGTTGAAACTAACAAATAAACAAACATACATTTAAAAAAACTGGAAAGTGCACTATAAAATTTTCGTTTAAAGGTGACATCTTGTGCAACTCCCCCCTAAAAAAGCCCGTTCTTTTACCTCTTAAAGTTCATTTTACTGAAAAAAAAAGATTTTGCAGGGAAATGACTTGAATAACTTTCCCGTCCATCCTCGAGCTTCAATGCTCCAGCTTTTTATTCCTTAATAAAATGGCCTTCAGTGGGGAGTCTTATATAATGTCTAGGTAACTGTGAATCTATAAATCGCCTTCATTAAATGGAATAAGAAAAATGGCAGCTTTACACTTTAATGTTTCTAATCTGATTTTAAACAATACATTTCAAGAGTCACTTTTGTTAATGTGACGACACACATTGGTCATAAATCGTTTCATCAGTGACACGTACTTACAATGATAATGAGGTATTACACTTTATGTAATGTTTCCCAGTAAACAATAATTATTGAAATGCTTACCCTCTTTTTTGATAAAAACTGATGTCTGCACGTGATCAAAAGATGAGTTCCTAGCAACCTTGCATACAAGCACAATATCATTATCATCTGCATATATCGGTGTAAAGGTTATTGTCCGTGTAGGCACAAGAAGACGTCCATCATGTCCATCATACATATTGTGTTGAGGTTCAACAAAAGCATTTAGCTTGTTTGGAATCACCCACTCCAAATTGACGGCTGTTTTCACCGTTGTATTAGTTTTACAGACTAATGTCTTGTTCTCCCCTTCTCCAACAATGAGTGATCCTTGATTCTGTAGAATGGTACCGGAGGCTTTTTCGACCAATATTAATCCCTTTGGTGGAACTTGAAATTAATTTAAAAGAAAGGAAACATCTAGATTTAGTGAAGAGTAATGCTTTCAAGATGACAATATTATGTTTGTATTTGTTTATTCGCACTTGTATTTGATCACTGAAACGTAATTGCAAAACAAATGTAATTAAATCACTTTCTTCACCCTGCTGCATACATAAAATAAAATGTCATTGATAACTCCTTAGTGGGACCTAATTAATGTATAGAGGCCCAATACAAAATATCATGTATAACTCCTCTTTTTGAAGTTTAGGACTGTAAATTTATTTGTCAAGAATAATAGGACAAATTATTTGATGTTTATCTCGTTATTACTCAACCCTTTCATATGTTTTTGGAATTGGTCAAAAAGTATACTCAAAGACACATGTTGATTCATAGCCAACACTAATTGGTTGCTGAATTTGTTAATGTGGAAATTGTTATTTGAAAAAAGGACAAACTTTGTATACCATTTACTATCATGTTGATTTCACAAGTCTGTCTGTAGCTTTGAAAAAGCATGATGATAGTATAGTCATCTTCATGAACCAACGAAACGTTGCGAATTGTGACAGTGCTGCTGATAAACGTATTGTTTATTCCAAGTGTGTGTCTTGCAGTATTATGTTTACAGGGGTTAAATGTGTCGCAGTTGAATAATATCGAGCCATCACTTTTCCTCCAGGTTATTGATTTTATGAGCTGGTTTGTGTTAACCGTGAGACATTGGAGGTTCACGTCCTCTCCAGCAGTTGATTCCATAAAGATGTTCCTTTCATCTGTAACGAGAACATAACACATATTAAAATCTACAAGAATACCGCTTGTTGCAAGTCTTCATTTCATTAATTTTGTACTCACTTAAACATGATAAGAGCATAGCTTAAGCACTTCAACATAGAGACGTATGTACTGTTGCCAAATATGCAAAATAAATAATGAAAAATTGAATAAAAGTGAGATTTTACGGTTCTTGTTATGTGTCCAGATCCAGGTTAAAATGCAAAATAAAGAGAAGTTTAAGAGAAGGGTTTGGAAAAAGAAAGTAGATAAAGCTAGGTCGCATTGCTCCCTTCTTAATTATATTGTTCTCTAGGATATGGTTATTGTTATCACCAAAGTGGGGTAAAGTGAAAATAAGCGTCTGCGAAAAATAAAATGTTATTTTATTTGCGTTTAGTTGAAATATATTATTTTCATCTGAATATTGATAAATCATGAGCGCCGAATAAAGGATAACGCTCCTAAATAAGCATTTCCAAAGAGTATATATTATACAAACATCCTAAATTACAATGGTCTGGCTAAATCATAGGAAAGTTCCTATCAAGTCCAATAGTGTTTTTTCTATATATCAATGATCAATATTACAATTTCAATAAACTTAGGGATCAGTTGCTGAGCTACTCAACAATTGGTGTCAGGTATATTCCACGAAAAAAATCGCTGGGAGGAGGGGGATTCGGTAAAAGAACCTCTTGGTCGCTTTGCTCTCATGATTTATCAATTTATTGTGGTTATTCAAAATTTGATTACCAATCTCAAGTTTAGTATATTAGTTATGAGTATCACTTCGTAAACAAGCACATTTTAATTAAATATTACGCATAATAAGCATTCATATATTGTCATATTGTTAGTAAAATACTAAAACATTAAAATCTTCATGAGAAAAATAGAATAGAGGAGAAGGTTACCGCGGTTATACGAAGAGTTCAGAAAGCCATCCATAAGTTTTTATGGAAAAAACTCAATAACTAAATAAAAGCAGTGTACATGAAACATGTTAAGATTAATTAATGGCGTACTCACTTGCAGAACAAAATTCAGATCCGATAAGAATGAAAAATAACTGCCACATATTTCCAATTTGTTTTATTTGCTCAGGGTTACAAACAAATCAATGATATTTCAATTAGAGAAATGAACTGTTTATTTGAAGGTTTACGAGACGTTAATGCAACCACACGACAAACGTTCATAATTATGTTTCAACAGTTACACGGATACATGTTTTATTTCAAAAAAAGCTGGCGCTCTCTAGCTCAGAGACTTAAATATAATAGAAGTTTGGGGAAGGTATTTTCGGGAAACATCTTAATAAACATATTTAAAAATGCAAAATTTGACTTATTTGCTTTATGTTTTCTGTTACGCATTTAGTGTACAGCGCTCAGAGGCACTTATCTCCTACACAAAAGAAGCAATGGCTAAAACCAAGAAGACAATGACAAAATGTTAAGATGAGATTTGGAACTATATAAAATAGGCTAGTTGTACAAGCTTATCTTTTCAATAAAAAACAGAACATAAGAAACACCGATCAACCCCTATAAATAAATAAATAAATGGATAAATGATTACGTTAATGAATATATTAATAACTAACTAAATTAAACGGTAATTACATCAATCAATAGGTGTGCATACTTTTACCTTTTGCATCGAACCATCTAGACACAGTTTAAACTTCGTCACAGCATGGCGTATATTATGAGGTGATCTGCAACAGATCCTGCAGATGACCTCAAAATTACCATCAATTTCTTACCACTACTTCCTCTCGGTCCGAAATAGAAAAACGATCTACCTCTCAGTGTTGTCAATCAACCGTGAAGTCATCTCAATTGCTACGCTATGTAGGTGCCATTTTGTAAAATCACATTATCAATCGTGTATCCATAACCAGTACATACACTTAAACTTCAGACCAGGGTCACTGTCCAGGCTTAGTAATGTCCTAGCGCGTCATATTACAAAAGATCAAGATTAAGATTAATATTGAGAATAACAAAAATTTAGACTTATGGGGCGTTGCAAGAAAGTTGCGTTTAAACGCAACTCCCCAAAATCAAGCACAACTCAGGCGTTTAATTGCAAATTTGCGATTAAACGCCAGTTGCGTTCAATCCTGTTGCAAGAAAGTTGCGTTTAAACGCAAATGCCCCAAATCAAGCGCAACTCTGGCGTTTAATCGCAGATCAAGCGCAACTTTGCAATAAATTTGGAGGTAGCGCAAAATTTGCAACTGATTGGCAGTTGATTGCAATTCTTCAAAATGGCGGCTGCGAATGAGGATGGTGGGAGGAATGTCCCAGACAAAATAGATCCATTTATTCATCTTTTGGAGAAAAATATCCAAAAAAGGTAGATTTTGAAGAAAAAAAACTCTGTTAATCAGATTATATTACTTGTAGCTTCAACTGCTTACTGGTTTTTTCCATAGACCTGTGTACAAATGTGTTCAAATACTTATATTTTTTTAAATTTCCATAGGCTGGTGAACAAATTCAATATATTCTGCCATTCATTTCACTAAACTTCACATTATTGAATATCCATGTCATTCAAACATCAATCTTTCTTGCTTCCCTTATAAACCAGCCATCTTCATTGGAAATCACAACCTGAATTCCAATGAAGATAGACACCTCTCTTGCATTGTACACAAAAATATCCATCCACTGATCTCTGCACAAAGTACCCCAAATTTTACCCACCGACAGCTCACACTAACCTGTAACCAAAATCATTCTGAAATAATTACAATAGTTTAAAGATCAATTCATTTGAAATCACTAATCAAGTGTGGATTTTAATTCATTTGATCCCTCAATTGTTAGTGTTTACAGAAACAGGGGGGGGGGGGGCAGCTTGAAGCGTGGAACTATGAGGATCAGTGAGGTTCTTTTCGGATAAAGTTCCTTATAAAATTAATCAGGATCAGGAGGGTCACAAACTCCTTCTCTACCTCCACCATCACATCTTGATTCCTGAAGAGCCTTTGTGGATAGAGATGAACTTGGGAGAGGTTCCCATGTTGTTTTGGAGTCACATGCCACTTATGCTGACTGCTCCTCTTCAGCAACTCCTACAGACAAGTCCGCTTGCATCAATGTTACCAATTCTGATAAGCCGGCTGATCATGAAACAAATGTTAATTGAAAGAAGAAAAACAAAAATCAATATTTTACAAGCACTTCAAGATCTAAAGCTGACATCACAAATATATTTCTTTTGTTTTTCTTCTTTATGTTGTTTTTCTTCTAGTAAATTTCAAAGGGCTTTTATTTTTATATAAATTCACTATTTGCTCGACAAGAGTACATTCCTTATTTTCCATGCTTATAAGAACAACGACATATACCGGATCAAAATAGTACTTCTCATAGTGGTCTGAAATAAAGTGTCATATTTCGAAACATACCTTTTATTACTAATATACTACATGTCTGAATAAAAGATCTTATTAACTAGATGGACCTTCGAGCGCGCGCAGTCGAAAATGATGCCTCCGCCATAGAGCCATTTTACAAACCAAAACAGAAGCGAGCTATTGTTGCATACATAATAAGCCCTGTGACCTTTGACATTTGACCTTGTTACCCCAAAATCTAATAACTTCATTGGTTCTGCAAGATAAATACATGACCTAAGTTTGGTGGGAATCCATCAATGGGTTCTTGAGATAACGCGTTCACAAGCTATTTTTGCATACATAATGAACCCTGTGACCTTTGACCTTGGATCTCGTGACGGACGGAAGGACGGACAACCCGAAAACATAATGCCTCCGGCTACTTTGTAGCGGAGGCATAAAAATTCAGACCATTGTTTTAAGATTAGCATTCATAAAATGTCATAGAATTTACTCCAAATAAATGTGTATAATCTTTAACCCTATTGTAACCCCGGGGGGGGGGGGGTCAATTTGACCCCTCCTCCTCCCTGTAGTCCCGACTACTCCGGAACCGCGGCAGATATAAAATTTTCCTTTCTTTAATTTTTTTTTCGAGTCTTACTCGGGGGGGGGGGGGGGGTAAAAACCTGGTCTGAAATACCCCGGTTTAAATAAGGTTAACTTTAAGCTGTGAAAACCACATTTCCATTTGAGTGTCCATTGATTTGTTTTTATTTTACTTTTTGTACACAAATATGTTTTACTTTATCACACTTGCAGAGAACAACCAGGATAAAGTCATATAAGATAATAAGATCTTGTATAGCAAGGCTATTCCCCCCTCACAACAACAACAAAAAAAAACTTTATTATGGGAGTATAAATCAGAAGACTTAGTATTTTATGTTGCCTTTCTTAATCACTAATCAAAATTTCGAACTTGGGTTACTGTTGTTTAAACAATATAAAGAAAGTGAGATGGATTGCAGGTGGCAAGGATGTGCTCATACTCTACTACGATGCAACTCACTTCAGACACTGTCATCTTGCCTCTGAGTTTTAGACAGCAAAGTCCTTGTTGTGTCTGCCATATCACCATGAGCTTCTCACACTGCCCTTCCTTTGCATTACATGTACAGGCACCTGTTTGTATGGAGACATACAATAAATTTACTTTAAAACATGTTCATGAAAGCATTGTAGAATAATAACTATAAATATCACAATCAGCAATCTCGCGCAATGCGAATGTATCCCCTGGCACTGGCAGCGATTTTTGTGTCATCCTTAAGTTTGAAGGAGGGACAAATGTCCCCTCTCCCCTCCCTGAAACAAAAAGATGACGTTTAGATCGCCACTAGTGATTCAGACTATTGTCAAGACTAGGAGCAGGCTCAACAAAACAATATGTGTGTAGATTAGAGTATAATGCATCTCTATAGAAAATTTGAAAGAAATGTCTAAAGAAATGTGGCCTGCAGAACACACACATTTCCACCAAAATATGACCTGACCCAATAAAGATGCAACAGTGGGGGTGGGGTGGACATGGCAGCATCACCAACAAAAATAGGCGTGTAGATTTTACGATACACTTCCATAAAAACTTTGAAAGAAATCTGTAAAAAAAAAATGTGGCAGTTAGAGCGCACAAAAGAAAATACATTTCCACCAGCACCTGGAAAATCTAATGGTACGACACTTGTTCCTGAGACAAATGCTCCACGTCGATTTTTTACACTATTTAACCAAATACTTTAAGCCCAGCTGTACTACTTGTAGCTACTTGCTCCCTCTATATAGAAAACCATGCCAAAGCAGAACTTGTTGGTTCCCCATCATGATGATCCTCCTTTTATTATGTTAATTGAGAGCTGAGTTGATGAGATAGCCACCTGTCAGTGACCACGCTGGGTGTTATAATCCCTCCCGGACAAAATAGTACAGATGGATTCAACACTAGACCCAACCCTAACCCTACACTTGACCTCAGTCCCAATTGCAACACTCGGCCTAACCCCACACCTTTGACGAAATAAAGCCTTGAGCAGTCATTGCAGGAGCAAATGTCCGGTTACTCAGAATACCATGATAGACTCACTTGCTATGAATTTATCTCTCTTTCTTTCCCAGATTTGTTAAAAACATTGTAATATTCATTATGAATTACCAGTTTATTGTGCTTTGCTCCTATATTGTTAGGCACAAGAGGCCATTGCTTTGAGGTAAGGGGCAGAACATGAAGACTTGGAACCTCGAGGCATCCCATGATCTCTCTCCATGAAGCCCTTGGTCTTTATCCCTGGAACAGAATTATAAACATTTCAATAAATATTAACCAAATACGGAAAAAAATAAAAAATAAAATAGCATTATCTAATATTTTAGTCATCTTCCAGTTTACTGTTACACCAAAATTTGAAGGTCAATAATTTTCTTCTTTTGCTTGTCATTCTTTTTTATGTATTGGACCACCCCCCCCCCCTCCCTTCTACAAGAGCTTCAAAGTTTAATTCTAAAAAGAGGTTTATTGAAAGTTAAAACTCACTTTAAATTAACACAACAGCAACTTCTTTGTAGAAATGTGTATGTTGATGCATACATAGCCACTCCCTGAATGGATACTTCTCAAACTTGCCGTTTGCAACCCCTCCAACTTGGCCTTGACCTCACTCATTTCAAAATTTCCTTTTACTTGACAAAACTAGACGGATCAAGTAAATATGTTTACCTTCTCTTGTGGTGGTCTTTTCTCTCCAGGACATTTTTTTTTCAAGCACATACTCAATGAAGGCAATGATTTAGTACTGCGACAAGTCTCTCTGCCCCTATTCCTGTAAAAGAGAGCGGGAATTAAAAAAATGAGCATGATCATATGAATAATTTCCATTGTCATAATGACCTTTGACCTTTATTTGTTATGTGACACATCTTCTCCGATCTTCGCAAATTTGGTACCAAAAGATGTAGGAGACTTCAATAAAAAAAAAGTCATGAAAGGGTATTGTGATATTCGCAGCAGTTAAGCAGTTTGCAAAATTACTTTGGGTCAGGGGTCAGATTGACCCCCCCCCCTGGTGTGAGATGGGTTAAACAATAGAATATCAAGCACGGTTTTGTTTTTCACAACTCACATGCAAGCGCGGATCCATGTGGCAATTTTTCCGGTGTGCCCCCCCCCCCCCACCCCAGTAGCCCCTAAAACTGTTTTTTTTAAATATGATAATGACGTAAATTTAACCTTTTTTAAAGGTGAAATTCAAAGAAAATCAGAAATATGTCAACTAACGTATTACTAGAAACTTGTAAGCTAACAGATGGCCATCGTACAAGTTTTAGGTCAACTACATATCGGGTGATTTATAACAATACAAATACAACCACCTCCAAAGCAGCTGGGATATACGAGAGATTCGCCGGAAAAATAACAATGTTTTAACTACGTCACTATATGGACCAATACTGCCCAAGCAGACGACATCCCTAGAATGAATATAATTGCAAAGCAATTATTTGTCAAATTATAATGAGTTTAGTGTATATAAATGTAATGGCATGTCAAACCATTTAAAAGGGGATATGACCCGATTCTGATAACTAAAATCTTTTGCTTGCAAATACACAGGATAGGGGTTCATTAACAATCAAAGAAACCAGACTTTCAAATTGAAAACCCCCAGAATGATATTAAGGACGGCATTTGTTCCCTCTTGAAACGCCGAACATACCTTGGTGTGTGCAGCTGAATATACAATGGCGTCTTATTTTGTTTACAAGCAACAGATTCCTTTATTTTTGTATCGCAGCATTTGTCATCAAAATAAAACCATGCGCGGGGTTTTGGGTGGGGCAATAGATTATACATTCAGCCTGACGGTAGTGAAGTAAGAGAAAGAACTCAAGAGAAGATGAAAACACACGCACTGAAAATGTGTGAGATGTCATGGGACATCGTCTGCTTGTGCAAATAATATCCATACTGTGATCTCACACATCTCAGAAGCGTTCGGAGAGCTCTTCAGGTGCTTTGCCGGGGCTGTATTTAAGCGTTTTGTAATTTATAATAATCGTTCCTTCGAATTTTTCCAAGCATTGAATTTTGATAACCTCGTCGAATCAAAGTTTCAACTTTGCAATAATGAAAATAAAGTTAGTTTTTAAAATCAATGAATATCTACTTTAAAACAAACAAAAAAACGGTGAGATCCTTTTCATCACCCCCCCCCCCCCCCCCCCTGCGTATTCACCGGGTGGATGAATCGATGCTAAATATTTTTCTTACGAATTGCCCCCCCCCCCAAAAAAAAAAAAAAATAAATAAATAAATAAAAAAATGTGCTCTTCCCGCCAAAATATAGAATAGCTACATGTGAAGGTCCTCCCAGCCAATGTTCAAGAGCAAGTAGTCTACGAAGTAGGCCTACCGAGTACCGGTACTCAATATGAAATTAACATTGCTCTGAGCAGATTAGTAGCACAAATTTATTTGGAAGAGTCATTAGTAGAAGTGTGGGGGGGGGGGGGGGTGGGGAGTATACGTAAATGTAGGCCTAATCTTTTTTCCCTCAAAATTTGATAATCGCAACCCCCCCCCCCCCCCCCCCCCCCCCTTGACTGGTACTTGCTTAATGCTAGATTGTACTGCTTAGTTAATTAGGGCTCTTTCATTTTTTTTTGCCAGGAGTTGGTCACAGTTTTGTTTTTTGCAGTGTGTCAAAATGACATCGATCTAGATCTAGACTAGGCCTAGACCTCTAGCAATTCTAGAGCCATTAGCCCATTTGGCATTGAGTGATTGACAATGTCAATGTCAATGATCGGTCTTTTCTTCTGAAAATGCCCTGGTTCTTCTCTGATTTTAAATAATCTTTGACAGACTTTAAGTTTAATGCTCTACCCTGTCAGGAATAATACAAGATTAAGCATTAGAGGAATGAGAGTTCAATCCCAAGTCACATTTTACAAGTGCAAAGACCCCCCCCCCCAATCACAACACAGCAACTAACTAGCAGCACTGAAATAGCAGCGAATGAAGGCGAGATGCAAACAAAACACAAATAGCTACATGTGGGACAATGATTAAGGAAATGAGTATCAGAGAAGTATTCGTGACCCCCAAATTTGACCAGCGATACACTAAATATTTTCCATTTTTTCAAGACAAATTTATTCCAGAGATAAGCAAATAATATTAGTTATCTATAAATCATACATGATTAAGCACAAATACGATCGAAATTGAATATTTTTCCACTTACCCTGCTCAGAATCAAAATGATTGCACAGTCAAAGGAATCAGCTGTGCAGACAACAAGTGCTCACTTAAAATTGAGAAATTTGCTAGGCTCGGCCATCCAGTCGTTTTCACAAATACAAAATAACGCCGATCAGTTGCAAATCAGTTGCAACTTGCATTTGATTGCTAGCTAGTTTCTTGCAACAGAAAGTGGCAATTGATTGCAAGTTGCGTTTGTATATCAGTTGCAAAATTTGCAACTGATATTTGCAATCGATTGCAACGCAACTTTCTTGCAACGCCCCATTAGAATAATATAAAGATAACGATTAAGATCAAGACCAACATAATGAAAATGCCCAATAAAGCAGCATCCCAGAACAATTCCGCTGAGGGACCCCTCTCACGACCGGCCCTGACGGTGCTATCATGGAACGCCGAAGGTATATCAGATGCCAAGGAGGAAGTGAACTGCGATGTGCTATGTCTTCAAGAGACTCACCGCGGCAGCGACAATCCACGGCCCAAGGTCAAGGGTATGAAGCTTGCCATCGAGCGGCCACATCGCTAATATGGAAGTGCTATCTTCACGAACGAGAAGATCAGACCAGATTCTTCATCCTATACCCACAATAATGAAATCGAAGTGCTGAACGTGACAATCAAAGGACTTACGATCTCCTCCATCTACAAGCCACCAAACATCAGTTTTTCGTATCCTTCCACCACGACCAATAGGCATATTGTAATTGGCGATTACAACAGCCACAACACGCAATTGGGATATGATACCACTGGAGATGATGGAGCACTAGTTGAAACATGGGCCCAAAACAACGACCTAAAACTAATACACGATTCAAATCTCCCAAATTCTTTTGCCAGTGCCCGTTGGAAGAGACGTTACAACCCGGATCTAGTTTCTGCAGCAGGTTGCTTCCTTCCACCAGTCGTACGTTTGTAGATGAGCCGATTCGTAGGTTCAACTTTGCTAAGGCAGACTGGCCTGCTTTCACCGAACACCTTGATCATGCCCTTACACATCTCCCTGCACATCCAAAGAACTATGCATACTTCATAGATACAGTCAAGAAGGTGTTACGTAGACATATTCCAAGAGGCTGCTGCACGATATACATTCCAGGCATCGATGAGGAATCAAGTCAGCTTCTGGCAAACTACACCACAGCCTACGACACAAATCCCTTCTCAAAGAACAACATCAACCTTGGAGAAGAGCTCATATCAAGGATATCTCAACGACATAGGCAGATGTGGCAGCAAATGATTGAAACGACAGATCTAAGACACAGCAGCAGGAAAGCGTGGGCCACCATACGCAAGCTCGGAATTGACAGCACCAAAGCTAAACAGCATTATAACGTTACGGCAGACCAAGTAGCAAATCAGCTGTTGAAAAATGGAAAGGCCCCAAGATGACTTATTCACACAGGCACAAACTAACTGGAGTTGACCAGAACATGTCTCTTTTCACAAGACCTATTTCTGAAGAAGAACTACAACAAAATATCTCCACGCTACAGGTCAACGAGGCGGCAGGCATCGATGACATCAGATCGGAGCAGATCAAACACATGGGCTCTGTAGCCCAGAAGTGGCTGTTAGACATGTTTAACAACTGCATCGAGAACACCTGTGTCCCAAAACAGTGGCTCCGAACCAAAGTCGTCTTTATCCTCAAGCCAGGAAAGGAATCAAACGAAGCCAAGAACTTTCGACCGATCTCGCTTCTGTGCCAATCATACAAGCTGCTTGAACGCCTTATTCTCAACAGAATTGGGCCTCACGTTGACAGCCAACTAAACCGTGAGCAGGCAGGTTTCCGACCAGGAAAATCCACCACGGGACAACTTTTCAACCTGACCCAACACATCGAAGACGGTTTTCAGAACAACTTCATCACAGGTGCAATTTTTGTTGATCTATCTGCGGCCTATGACACTGTCAATCACCAAAGGCTACAGACAAAACTTCATGACATCACACATGACCTCAAACTCACGAGATTCATCCAGAAGATGATGCAGAACAGATGCTTCTTTGTCAAACTTAATGGGCAGAAGAGCAGATGGCGGAAACAGAAAAATGGTCTCCCCCAGGGTGGCGTCTTGGTGCCAACACTCTACAACATATACACTGCTGACATCCCTTCATCAGAGAACACTCGAAACTTCATCTATGCAGATGACACCTGCATCACAGCCCAGCATAGTACCTTCGAAGAAGTTGAACTTCATCTCAACACAGCGCTCGCAAGCCTTTCGGAATACTATAGAGCTACTTACAGGCAAACCTATCCAAGACTCAGGTGTGTGTTTTCCACTTGAAGATCAGGGATGCAAATAGAGAACTGAAGCTAAAGTGGAACAATGTGCAGCTAAACCACTGCGAGCATCCAGTGTATCTAGGTGTAAAACTTGATCGCACCTTATACTTTAACAAACACATCGAGAAGACAATAGGCAAAGTAGAATCTCGAAATGCCATCATCGGGAAGCTGGCATCCTCACACTATGGCGCTGACCCCAAAACTGTACAGACTGCAGCTTTTGCCCTCTGCATGTCATCCGCGGAATATCCTTGCCCAGTTTGGAGCAGATCAGCCCATGTGAAGAAGCTTGACACCACACTCAATAACACATGTCGAAAGATAACAGGCTGCCTGAAATAAACAAAAGTTGAGGAGATATATCACCTCGCTGGCATTGGATCTCCTAACCAAAGGCGCACTAACACCTACCTAAAGGAATGGATGAAGCAGGCGACAGATGGCAGACACATGCTATACGGATACTTACAACCCCACAAACGACTTGTATCCCGACACAGCTTCCTTGATTCTGTCCCACCACCTGAGCAGAATCCTCCACCATCAGCCAAGCCCGTACTCATCAAAGGACTTAACCTGAAGTGGCCGGAGTGGCAATGCCTTAATCTAATGCGGACGAGAATTGGGCGGTGTAAGGTCAATATGGCAAGACGAGGCTATGCCAATGAAGGAGATACTCTCTGCGACTGCGGAGAGACCACATTTTAGTTATGGAACTTTACATAACTATTTTGATCTAAGGAGACACGAACGAACAAACGATATTACAAAAGGCTTCAAATCACTTATGGAACAGTTTCTAGTACGTTTCAGGCAATTTTAAAAATTTAAATATTTGGCGCGCGTCCGCTTCCGCGTCATTGCGCGTAGATTATGGACAAAACGTATAATGACACTTTTCGCATGGTTGGGATTTCTAATACAAACATCAACCTTCAGAAGTCAAAGGTGTGTGTTAAGAATAAAATGTTGCCAAAGATCTAAAACAATGTGAAAGTGTGTTCCTTTTTAATTCATTATGGCACTGGTTTTTTTTAACTATGACCAAATAGCTAAATGGCCCTTTGAGAGCCTGAAACTTTACAAAGATAACGAAGTCTAAATCAGTTACAACTATTTCTTGTAGCATAGACCTAGATTAAACTCCCATAGCTTAATGAACATTTTTCAACGTTGCTTTATGTGCATGAGGTATCACTGAACAGCAAATTGTTTACGGAATTTCGTAACAAAATTGACATACCTTTTTGGTTGGAGCCGAAAAAAATATATAGCTACAATTTTTTTTTCTTCTTCTATTAATGATTAATGAGCATGGGTGGATCTTAAAGAAAGTAACAGTAATCTGAATTAACTTGTGTATTTTGATGGAACAGTGCAATTGAAAATGGTGTTTCGTACGTTACATTTTCCGTAAACAATGTAGACCCTCATTTAACCCACTAGAACAATGAATAATTGAGATTGTATATGTTTTGAATAAGCTTATTAGTTACTCCAAGTCATTAAATTAAAAGAAAATATAATTTAATTATAGTAGCCCTTATATTAAAAATATACTCAAAATTTGAAAAAGTTGTCTCGTTTTCCGTAAACAATTTTGTAACGTCCGAAACAACTTTCAATTTGAAGTAGCAGAAAATATATTTACTGCAGGACCTATCTATCGCAACATTTTTTAACATTTCATTGCGGATACCCACCAAAAAAAAAAAAGTTTGCAGTACATCACTACAAAACTATTTAATAGTTAAAACCAATTTTCCGTTAACAGTTGTAACGTCCAAAACAAATGTAACTTCCGAAACAAAAAATACCAACTAAATGATGAAAATCCATATTTTAGGGTATCTGGAGTGAATAAATCATTATGAAATAAGCTATTATTAGTCTTAACACAAGTCAAAACACATATCAGGTCTTTCAAATCCAATAATTTTGTTTAAGCTCAAAAGGGATGTTTCGGACGTTACACTATTTGATTGTTAACACATAGTTTGCAAATTTAAACTTCAATTTCTTCTTCTTTGTATGAATAGAAGGTCGTATTCATGGAAAGAAGAAGAGAGGAAGACCTCGTAAAGGCTTTCTAGACGATGTAATCATACAATGTGGAGCAACTGGGTATGAAACGATGAAACGGTTGACAAGAGAAACTTGGAGAGACACTTGATATAGAATTTTGAATGGGTCACTGAACCTGTCATAAACTGACATATCACTATTGATGATAATGTGCAAGTTACCATTTCACAATGCATACTCCTGTTAAAACACTATTTTGATAATTTTATTTAGATTTAAATATAAAAATATAAATAAATATGATGCTAAAATCAAATTTTCAGTAAAATATCTAAATTTTCTGCAAAATTGACTTAAAAAACCTAAAATATTGAAGCCACACTTTGCGATGCATGGCATGGCTGGCTGCTTTAATATATCCTTACTTGTAATTTATCCGAAAAAATCTCAATAAAAGTGACTCATAAAGAATATTCAGCCATTTTAACAGCACTTGTTGGTACGCTGTTAGCACGTTTCGGACGTTACATTAAACTGTTAACAGACATTTTCATACTTTAACTAGTTTAAATGAGGGGCAAAGACAGATGTGAGAATAGCAAATTTCAATTTGTCAACCTATCTTCTTGCTATGTACATCGCTGTGTATTCGCAAATCATCAGGTTTTCATTTTTACAGAGGGTGTTCCAAATTATGTCATATAACCAAATATTGTATAGTCAATCTAAACTATTTGGTATTTTACAAAAGCTCAAAACCACCCACTTAAGCAATACCCAGTGTACATGTACATGACATGGGTATGTTGCAGGAATATAAGGTTGATAAAATCAAGCAAATTAAAATGTATTTTTTTAAAATTTATGGGGAATTTCATCTGAAAATACATTTTT